GCACAAGGTCTAGTGAGTCGGAATCCGCTATCTAAAAGCCACCAGACGAAGAAGTTTGAGCTATTTTGATATTGTTGAGGCTTACAACCCTCGGATGAGCAATGCTTCAACTCCTACTTAGCTTCATTTTCCTACCACCGTAAACGTGGTATCGCTCCATCACAGCTCTTTTCACAGCAACGACCCCAGTTGCTAGGGCATCTTTATAGACACCAGAGTCACTAGAGCACAACTTGCATCCCTTCTCATGTGTGCAAACATATAAGAGCCCACTATGGCAGGACGCAAGGCTCCATTGGGCTGAATGGTGCCTCACGCAAGTTGCCAATCGCATTGACAATTTGCTCTCGGTTCGAGCTCCCATTCACGAAGATATCCATCACTTCATTTTTTGATTATACCTGGCCTGTGCAACATCAGGACTGCTCACAGCTCCTCTAGTACTCTAATCTGGTATGGATGGAAAACACCTCCGTCTATGGCAAAGAAAGTATATCCTTATTGTCAGAACCGAGGACTGTGGACTAAAGTTGTCAACAAACCTCCATGTGAGGGCTAAAGAGCAAAAACTTCAGCCACCAGTGGTTGAACTAGCAAAGCGTCGGTGCTGATGGGCTCGGTACTAAGAGCCTGACACGCTCGAAAAGTCGCAATCCTAGTTGTAGTCGTAGCTGTATGTTGAAGCAGCAGCAGCGGCTTCTGCTGCTGCTATTGTTGTTGATGTTGCTGTTGCTGTTGCTGTTGATCGCTTGCCTGCTTGCTTGCTTGCTTGTTTGTTTGTTTGTTTGTTTTGGTTGCTGTTTGCCTTCGTTCGCTGCGGCCTGCATTCTCCGCCCGTTATCACCAAAGATAGCTCCTTTGCCGCTTGCTTGGGTTGTTGTTTACAGGTTTGGTCTGGGTCAAACGTTTCAAACGAGACTTCATGGGAACTTAGCTCCTGAAACACCGGGGATCTAAGCATCAGTTCCCTGATGAATCAGGAAGGCTGCGGCCATCCCAATCTTAAGGTCCCCCCCCCCCCCCCCCCCCC